CAAGGGCCCTGCCTGCCCAGAGGCCTCGGTGGGTGGCAGGGGGGCGGGCCTTTTGCTGCCCTTTAAGGTCAGATCTGAGGTCAGCAAGGTCAGGCCCGAGGTCAGCGTGGCTGGTGGGCGCGTGAGGACCTCGCCTGTCCGCCTGGTGGAGAGAAGGCTGTCTTTCTGTCCCTTGAGCCCCGGCTCCTATGAAATGTAGTGGACCCTCCTCCTCCCGTGGGGTCGGATGGCATGTGGGCACGTTCACCCACGGGGAAGGCCTCTCCCTGTCACTGCCCGCCTGCCTGCTCCACGTCATGCCCTGGCCTGCTGGCCGTCCCCTGCTCTCCAGAGCCCGGGAGCCTGGAGCCCGCTCCATCCGTCCACAGACGTGAAGGTGCAAGTTCAGGCCCTCCCTGCCTTCCCCTCTGAGGGTGTCCCTGTGATCCACTCAGGTGGGCTCCCCCGGTCTTCCTCCCCAGACCAGGCCCTGTGGGGTCTCTTCCAGAACCACAGTGTGGCCCCCGGCCAGCTCCTCTGTGGTTTGCTGGGCACGGAGCTTTGGCACAGATGCGCCAGTGCCGATCCCGCCATGCGCCCTGTTCAAGGGTGATGCGGCCTTGGGGTCCAAAATAGCAAAGCAGAAAATCTGTCATCAGAACGTCTGAAACACGGAGGCTTCCTGGCCCCGTTTGAAAAAACATGGGAACACACACACGCGCACATGCACACACACGCACACATTCACGCACGCACGCACACGCACACACGCACACACACATGCACACACACGCACACACATGCACACACACCCTCACGCCTCCCAGGGCTGAATCTAAGTGGCCCCCTCGCAGGCGAGCGGCCTCCTCGGCCTGGGCCCGGCCCTCCGCATGGATGGTGCATGGGAAGTTCTGTCTGGAGCCCTTTCTGAGGAAAGCAGCTGGCTAATCCTACACTCATTCCGCAGCCTCCCAGCGGCGGAAGTCGTGCCCTAACAAATACCCTGTTACTAATGGCAACATTGATTTCTGCAATCAGCCATTAAGCCTAGGAAACGAACGGCAGTTTGGGGCACCTTGAGGCGCCGTGTTGCCCACGGGCGCGGGTGGCAGCCAGGGCGGGGGTTCGTTTGTTTTGCTTTGTTTTTTAGCTTTTCCTCCCCGTCTCCCTCTTCTCCCGCCTTCCTGGGTTTTGATAAACATCTGCATATTGGAGGCGGCGATGACGTGCACGGGGGCCGTTCCATCGTCACTGTCGCGCTTCCGTCTGCGCGTCCCCCCCCCCCCCCCCGCTTGCCCACGGGCGCGGGTGGCAGCCAGGGCGGGGGTTCGTTTGTTTTGCTTTGTTTTTTAGTTTTTCCTCCCCGTCTCCCTCTTCTCCCGCCTTCCTGGGTTTTGATAAACATCTGGGTATCGGAGGCGGCGATGACGTGCACGCGGGCCGTTCCGTCGTCACTGTCGCGCTTCCGTCTGCCCCCCGTCCGGGGCAGAAGTAGGATGAAGATGAAGTGTGCGCCCCTGGCTTATCACAGGCCAGGAAAGAATTGTTAAGACACATAAATCTGAGCGGCACATTCCAGAGATTCCGATAGCACTTAATGCCGCTGCTTAAATACCCATGAAACACACTGTCTGCTCCGCAGTCCCTGGCTCGGCGGTGATTTATTTCCGGTGGGAACTCCGGGGGAGGCTGAGCGGGACCAGGAGCGAGCCTGGGCGGGCAAGGCCGCGCCACGGAGTGACCACGGCCCGGGGCAGGCGAGATGCAGGGCGGGGACTTCAGGTTTCGGTGGAAATGGGTCCCTGAACGTGGAGGCGGCAGAGTGAGGGTGTCCCCTGTCGCTCGGGACTGTTCCTGGCCCCCGATGAAGGAGTCCCTGGTGCCGGGGCGTGTGGTCTCGCTGTTTTGGGGAAAGGGGGGGCCGGCGAGGGTCAGAGAGCAGAGTGCAGGCCGGGTCCCCTAAATCTGCGGCATGAAGCTGGCAGGTTTCCACGCCTCTCGCCCGGACCCGCTGAGACGCAGAGGGCTCGGCGGAATGTTCCGGCACCAAATGCTCGCTTTTTCCTCGTGACGTCTCCTTCTCTGCGGTTTTCTCGCCTTCTGGCGGAGTGATAGCCCCCACGCTCTTCCTAGCTGTCGTTTCCGGGTCTCGAAATGTTCTTGCAAAAAGCCACCCTGCCCTCGGAGCCCGCCGGGCCCAGGCCTCGCAGAGCCCGAGACCTGCGCTGAGGTCAGCTGCCTGCTTTTCCGTCCCTGGTGGAGGTAGTTCTGAGCCTCGAGGGCTGACTCTGTTTCTGGGGCTGGTTTCCTTCCTATTCCCAATCCTCTGGCTCAGCAGCAGCCACGGGCCCGCCATCCACG